CAGACGTGTGCTCTTCCGATCTCCCCAAAACCCCAAAACCCCAAAACCCCATAAAACTCTATGTTTGCTATTTTTTAGTTAACTTAATATGATTAAAATTATTTCTTTTCATCAATTAGCATGTCTGGGATCATATGTTAATACATTTTCACTTTCAAGTTTCTGACCTGCATTGGCTACTGAACTTTGAATGGTTTTTCTAGCAGCTTCAAGGAATTTCTTTTCTTCAAATTACACTATGAAATGATTAGGAACATAGAAAAATAATTACATTGACGTTAGAGCTTCTTTCTTTGCACATCTGGAATTAGGAAAGATGAAACGAGATCCTTGATAAGGACTTCCGGTTTATTTCTTCTTTCTTCAACTTTATCAATGAAATTATTAAGGGTTTGAACCTTCAATTTAGCTTCTTCATATGCTTACAGAGAAGAAGTGTTATCGATAGTATTGGTTATGATGTTTTGAAGATATGAATCAACTGATCCTTGATGGACCGACATTAATTCCTTGTAGAGGACATCTTCTCTCTATCTGAGAATCTACTCAGCCTATCTTCTACCACTTTCTTCAGCTTCTCTTCTTCTTCTGACATCTTCTGCTAGTCTCACCATTGAAGCAATTCTTCTTTCTTGCTTGAATCTTACAAGTTCCTTAGAAAGATGATCTAAAGTCTTAGAGATAATATCTGCTTGTAAAGCTTCAGCAGCACCGTCTAAAACTCTTTCTTGATAGTTTTCTATTAGAACTTTTTCCTCTTCTAGGTCAGAAGCTGCCTTCCATTCTTCAGTTGCTCTAAGTTCAGCAATCAGATCAAGTCTCTTTTCTTTGCCCTCGAACATCATGTTTTACTTAGCTCTACCTCTAAGAAGTCTTTGTAACAAAATAATTGCTCTTTATTTTCTATCATTCAGCTCATGCTGTTCTTTGTTATCAACTCTTGTAAATTCAGTATACTTTGGTGTTGGTGGTCTCACTTTAACATTCTTAAGAATACTATCTTTATCATCTTTCTAGTCTTTTACTTCCTACTGTTCAATTGCAACATCGATAGTAGCCTGAGCCTTCTTAAGAGCTGCCATGTGAGCAATCTCCTTTCTTGTCAGGTTCTTTTTGAATTAAAATTTAACCTTGTCAACACTAACTCTATTCTCAAAAACTCTATTTGGCAATGTCCTGTTGAGTTCTTGAAGCCCCTGGTAAGTTGATAATGCCTCTGGTTGAACTTCATACTTATTAGCTTTTTTATCGAGTGATAGACCATCTCTAGTAATTGGAGCATATACAGTGGAGCCAAAGTTAGCATAATCTTCAATAATATCTCTCTTTTTTCCCTTTATCTCAACATTCTTTCTAGCTTTATACATTTTTCTGAGAACCTTAATTCTCTTTCTTTGAATTTTAGCTAACGCTCTTTCTTTGTTCTCGGTTTTCTTGAGTCTAATTTCTTCTGTTCTTTAAGCATGCTTTTCCTCAGTTTCTTTTTCTCTTTCAACCAAAGCACTTTGTAGAAGATTAAGTCTTTCATTTTGGATTCTCTTTATATCCTCCTCTCTCTTGTTCCACTCTCTGAATTCTTATTCTTCCATCAATTTTCTTCTTAATGTAAAACAAGCTTCATCTGAGGTAGGTGGAAGTGCATTATCAAATGCTCTCTTTTCTCTCATCTACTCAATTAATTCCATTTCGGCCATACTAGCTGGGAGTCCTTTGCCGTACTTAAGATGGGCAATAGTTAAGACTTCTGGTGCATTTTCCTTTTCAATGACATATTCTGGAGTGAATGGGTCGGTTTGAGCCTCGGACTCTCTAAATAAAATTAGATTAATTTAATTTAAATATGAAGATTGTTGAAATGAAAATAAACTCATGATTTGAGTCAATATCATACCTGTAAACAGTTTGTATTTCAACAGTTTTGGCTTTTGGCTCTTCAATTCTTTCTTTGGCTGACATAATTTTCTCTTCAGGGATTTGCATCACACTATAACGATATTAATTTTGCAAGAGGAAGTTACATCTCAGGTGGAACGGATTGTAATACAGGAATAATAGGTCTCTTGAAGTACTTATGTCTATAATTGGTTTAAATCCAGTATATATATACCTAAATTGACCTTGGACCTGGGTTTCAATAGATCCTTGATATCGGACATCTTTTAGAATGTAATTCATAATGACTGCAAAGGGATGACTGGTAGTATTATTTTATCCTTCTTTAAATTATATTATAATAAGATGTATTTTCCTAATGCAATTCAAATTGAGCATTCTGGGGTTTTGGGGTTTTGGGGTTTTGGGG